TTTTTTAATAAAAATGGTTTGTATTTAAGTTATAATTAAACAGTTTATTAATCAAGTCAAATGTTTTATTTATAAATTCTTGTAATAAAGTAGGTAGATGCTAACTCACAAATGTAATAAAAGCCCTAAAGAATATCATAGGTCTCTAACTAATGTGTAGCTGTAGTTTTTAGTATAAGTACATACTTGTATGTACTTATAATAATTATAAGTTAATATTATTAGTAATATATAAATAATATTAACTCTAATTCATTATGTATTCTATTGCCTATAATATTAACTTATAATAATTATAAGTTAATATTATAGGCAATAAAACACATAATGAATTAGTAATATACTTAATTATATACAGTATACTGCTGCGGTTCTGTAGCTAGTAATGAAGCAAAATAGGTTTGTATGAGCTGCTGACTATATATACTCTTGTTCTTGTATTTTATTTAATTATAATAATTATAAGTTAATATTATAGGCAATAAAACACATAATGAATTAGTAATATACTTAATTATATACTGCTGCGGTTCTGTAGTTAGTAATGAAGCAAAATAGGTTGGTATGAGCTGCTGTCTATATATACTCTTGTTCATTGGCAGTTTAAGATCATTCCCAATTTCAGTAACAATCCAGAGCACTGTTCCCTTCGATAGGGGGTAACAGTGACAAAAATCTACATCATCCCAGGTTTCTAATGGCGGATGACATTGCCTAAATATTTTTGGTCACTCATTAACACATTCTCATATAATATTATCGTCTTCTTCATCGTCTCATTAATTAAAGTATCTCAATATGTTTAAATTCATCATTAGATAGTAATAAACGTATTTATCATAGTTTGATTTCTGTGACAAACAGCTGTTACTATATAAATTACCAGCGGCCATCTTTTTAACCCTCCGATACTGAGTAGTTAACTTTTTTGACTAATGGTTAGATATTTTACCATTGGATGCTCTTACCACGGATCAAAAAACGCATTTTGCTGATATTTAACTAATAGTAACGATTTTTTACTAATAGTTGAGTTAACTACGGATCAAAAAACCGGCCCTAAGACACTTTTTAGGTCACAGAGCCAGCGGAGTGAGTGATAATAAAACACAACAAATAAAGATAATAATGTATTTCTTTTCTTACAAAATTATTTACAACACTTTATTATGCATGTATCCATTGTCATATACAATAGAGATAAATTAATTGCGGCCATTTACATAGCATTAACGATAATTACATCTAAAACAGATCGATAGGCACCATTTCCTAAATACAACACGCTAAAGGACTCTACATACTCCCCAAATTTAAAAGCAATAAATATTGGAATGTTGAAAAATTCAAAATATCCCTTGGTGACTAATTTCAAGAGATATACATGTAGGTCCCGGCACTTAACTCGGCACGATGTGATAGCGCGTTTTAGTATGAAAACACTTTGATTTATTTGCCGGGAATTTTAACTTATGGCTGCTTTATAAATTAAAATCGCAATATACAATAATGATATATGTCCATCATTGGTTTGTGTAGAGTCCATATATTATTTACATTTATATTGGTTTATGGATTAGTAACTTCTAGAATACATCGCCTTGAGTATATGCGCAGTTAGATAATTATCGACATAAACGCACTAATAATATACATACTTTATTGACGTGTTCTATCTATATACAAATACGTAGTGCCTGTGTAGGCAATTATTATATTTATCTATAAAGGTTTTGTTATGATCTTCAATGTTTTAAAGTCATGGAATAGATATTGTTGAAAGGGCATAAGTATCGCTTTTTTGACAACACAATTTTACGTAGTATATCCAAAATCTATGAAGTATGATGGTCTGAAATTTTTAACTTATATTCCTATTCCATCTCAACAAAACTATTTCGATCCAAACCCAAATTACCAGATAAACTGAGTATATTTGGAAAATTTTCGTGAACATTCTTGTATTATCATTTGCGTATGGTTTTAGATAAAAATAAGTGATATTCTTCATATATAGAATAAATTAATATATCAAATTGTTTTTAATAAATATTAAAGCAATGTATCGGATTTAAAATAAATTGGCTATTATTAATAAAATTACAAAAGAAATTGCCATGACAATTGTTATATCATAAAATATTTCTATTTAAATTGTATTGTATTAAATAATATATAATTATATGAAACTTTCACAAGACGATATTGCCGTGATCTTGAAAATGTGTTTGATTATATGTTCTAACCTAAATTTCATACCCTGTTAGTCCTACAATAGAGAAACTAACTATGTGATAAAAGTTGAAACTTTGAATCCTTAAAACGTGGACCTGAGCCCAAAAACCTATGAAATCGTAATATGATTATTAATACTTATTAACTATTTTCAATACTTGTCTTAAAAGAACATCAATTAGCTATAGAAGCAACACTGATTTAAAAAAACCGAATAACGATGCGACGTATTTTATTAATAACATTTTACCTAAGTTTTTTGTTAAGTTTTTGTGCTCGGCTCCTAAACTGTGTTTAGATCTAGGATTTAAGATGAATCCTAATTAGGCCGTTTTGGCAGTTTCTCGTATATTTATTGTCGTGGTAACGTAGATTAATGATATATTAAATCAACTGGCAGACCAAACGATGCTGGCCTGCGCAAGACCATGATCCTTTCGTAATAAGGCGTTTTTTTCCCATATTTGAGTAATCCCGCTATTTCGCTTAGCATTTATAAAACTGGAAAGAACACTTAATTTCCAGTGTTAAAAGATGTTGAAGATAGTTGAAAAATCCAATTCAAGAAATTATGAGCAACTAATTAGAAATATAAGAAAGTATACGGAAAAAGTCAGAAATAGGTACCATTTCTTTCCATGAGTGAGCTAAAATAAATTAGGCCATACAAAGAAAATCTATTTTGTTATTTGTATGCTTTCCAGTTTTATTTTTAAGTTCCTTCAGTCTTTCTTATGTTTACATTTAATGTACTGTCGTAGAGAGTGTAGCTTTTAAATTGGCCATAGTATTATCGAAAACAATATTAAAACCATCATAGTAAACTTAGTAAATCTTAAACAATTTAAACAAAATACATGAAAAAAAAAACAGTTTTAGTTAGAACAATTTCGTTTTGTCTAAAAGTCCCAATAGTACGAATCCATATTTCAAGGCACGAAAAATTATCATCTACTCAGCTGCGCCGATAAGTTTTACTACGATCAGTTTTGGTATAGCCTTATCTGCAAACAGTGTGTAACCTAGTGTTTTTATACATTAGCCATATTAAAATACTAGGTATTACTAATAAATATTGTATCCTTCACTAAGACAGTAAAAGCGACAGTTTAACACCACCTGCGACAGTACTATGCAACTTCGAATAGCGATAACAGATTTGTATGTAATTTCTGTATAGTATTTACTATATTCGTAGATAGAAATCACGCGATACAAAAACTCAACATTGACCTCGGGATCGCTAGAAGTTTCTGTGGAAGTACTTTAAATAGTGTATAATTTTATTCAAACGAAATTTTGATTTTTAAAAAGAAACACTATATGCTTACTATACAGGAATCGAACTCGTAAATCATGAGGGTCAATTATTTTCCAAAATCATGATTAATAAATGAATAGACGAATTTAGATTCCATTTAAAGACATTAATTTTCAAAAAATAAATTCATAAGATGTTTCTTTAAAAAAAATTCTTTTGAGTAAAAGAGTATTAAAATTTTTAGAATCGCATTTCTAATTCGAACTCAAGATTTCTTCAGAACTGTTTCCATAGAAACTCGTTTTAGAATGTTCAGGTGATGTTAAAATCTAATCGCTAAACCTATAGAACATATCAAATTTGGACGACTACGATTTTATTAATTACGTAAAATTATCTAATGATGTACTAACGGGTTACATAAAACCATTCGTAAATGCTTAGTCATAAATTTTTGACTGAGTTTTATTACGACTGGTAAATTATATAAATCGTATGTAAGACAAGAGAGTAGAGTCGTTTAAATAATTAAATTTATAATACATTATTTCATTGATAATTTAAGCAAGACTATGCCCAATAATATTTATTTATTAAAAATTATTGTTTCGCTGGAATCCAAACCTACGACCTCGTGATATCGTCTTTAGTTTAATTACTATTTTCTGACAGGTTGATTAAGTCCTTTCATATCCAAGATTGTTTTTCTTTGAACATTTCGTGTTACATAATAGTGACACAATTTCATTGACCTAAACTGCGCTTCTATAATCGCATGTATAATACGGACGTTTGACTCGTACACAGAACATCGCTACATTAGCTTAAAAATAAAATAACATCTATATTCACATACAATATTCAGACGCTCTTGCGTAATACTTAGGCGTCTATAGATAGTGCCATCTATAACCTCTTGATAACAAATAATCTACTGTTTCCCTTTGCCTTTAAAACCGTTCTTGGTTTACATAATGACGTTAAATCCTTTTATTTATTTCGGAATAAAGTACCGCAAATGTATTTTTATTTATTCACGTAGTAGAAACCGCTTAGGCTTATATACTTGTTAGTACTACAAAATTTAATTTTTCTTACTTATGTTTTACTAATACAAGATAGAGGTTTGGCGCATTGCGGATAAAGAATATTTCCAACTCAGACTTAATTTTAACTGTTTTTAGTCTTTTTGGATGGCACGATCTATATTCAATAAAAATCTAATACCAATATTTAATTTAACGCCCTCTATACCAGACATCACACATCGCACTCTCATGAAAGACATTGTTTCAGATAATTGTGACATTTTGAGCTAAAAGTCTTACTTCGTATGTCCGAAGAAAACGTTCAAACGAAACTTCGAACGCTCTTCTATTATTCGCGTTGCTTTAAATTAATAACATTCAAAACATTAAACAAAATTTCACTCTCTGATGAGTTCTAGTTTGGTACAATTAAATAAACCAGATATATTTAGAGTCCTTTACATACACATTCGTTGCTAATGTGCTGAGTGCACACTGTGTTGCGCTTTCTTCTTCCTCTGCGCCAACATATCGTAGAATGGGTTGTGGCTAATTGATCGACGTAAACATTCTATCCATTCATCTCTTTCCTCCACCGTTGAGGCAGACATTCTGAAATTAAAATTGTTTATTATTACCCTTGAGGTGAGATTTTCGCACGCGTTTTAACCCAGCCTGATGTTTTATAAAATGCATATAATCAAAATATCATTTATTTGTAACTGAATATACAATTATGAATATCAATAAAAAGGCAGATCACCGACTTACTTGACTATAAGAAAAAATATGAAGTAAACAGAAATCTGCACCTAGTTCAAGGGTTATACATTTGATAGCCCACTGGTTTTTTTGTAAATTTATGTCATTATATTAAGATTACTCCACAGGTCTACTAAGTCATGTGTAAAGATGGTTTGTTTTGAAGAGTAGTGTAAGACATACTTGTAATCCAATCTATTACATCTCTACAGTTATATAATATTTAATCAAAAACTATAACTATATATACAAGACAACCAACCTATATACTGTATGTTTTCCTTCTACGACCTTTCCCTCAGAATCAGTCTTGCACGCCTTAATCAGGTCCGCGCCGCCGCTCGCGTACAATTCTAAACAATGCGGCCGTTGACGATCACTTGCTGGACGGACCTAATACATACAAAGATTATTATGTCACTAAAGATAAGATATGATTCGTATAAACAAAATAATTAAATCAGACTTTGGGATAGGAGGCAAACGAGCCGGTGGCTTCCATGTGTCCTTTGAAGGAATAGTGCGCTCTTATCTTGAAGGCTCCAAGGAAGTCGTAGATGTACGGAAATACCTCCACTGGCAGCTGGGTCCACAAACAGGTGGTGCGCAGCACAAAGTACCTTAAAAAGCGCTGTGTTTTGGAACGCCAGGCATCGAGGTGGTCAAGAATTTCGTATTCTGTCTCGACATCCGATGATGGACTTCAGCAGATAATAGTCCGAAAAATTCTTGATCTGATATTTTATTTATTTTTTAGGTATTTATAATAATCTGTGTTGTATTTAAGATATGTATTATGTATATTATATAAAGTTGGGTCAATTTATACAATATAAAAATTAACTTTGATTTCACTTTGATAAGTTTGTATTGAAAGAATATCCTGTTTAGATTAACGGTTTGTTACATATAGGTATTGTAGTGACACAAAACAATGGCGTGTAACCGATAATGATACGTTATAGATTCGTTGGAAAGCATAACATAGAAAGTGAACGTACAAGTAGTCGGGAACTAATTTGGTATCAACATTAGATTACTAAGTTGATTTGCAATGTATGCATGTATCTTATCTCGGTTAATTATACCGGTTAGGGAAATTAAACGGAAAATTTTTAGATTAACTTGGAGATTAAAGTTGTTAAGCGCGAATAGTTTAAAAAAAACAAGAGACTAATACGAGAAATTATTAGAAAAGGTTTTAGCCTAATAAAAATCACAAGACCATGTAAATTATAAAACACTTCATGATACACATTGTACTAAAATTACAAATAAAATATCAATAGTGAACCAAATTTTGAAGGCAAAAATCTATCTATTTTAATATAGGTTTAGATACATAAAAACTAATTTATCATCAACTAGCTATTCTACTCAATCATAAAAATATCATAGTAAAAACAACCTTATTTTTTATTTGGTTTGACACATAATTTATCTACAAAGTGTTAGTCTAAATCTTCAATATCGTGAAAATAAATTCTTTGTTCCAAATACTATCATATCAATTTATATCAAATGCGCGTTAAAGATAATGTAATAAAATAGAAGACATTAAACTAAGATAAACGATGCATGAGATAATTCAACAATATGTTCACCAAATGCGCCAAATTGCGTTGTCTGCATGGTGAGTAATTAAAACTGAGCTCTTTACTGAGAATAAATAAAGCAAAAATACTTACAAGGACCAAATTGAAAAAACTAAAAAACGCTTGTCTTGGGTTAAATTCCCGATGTAACAAGGAAGCTTCCGATGTTGCATTTTATAAGGAAATGGCCCAAACACCAATTTTGATGAGATGTATACGAATTCTTATACGAGACTTCAAAAATTCATTTAATAATGCATACACATGTGCAAGAAAATACACTTTTACTAGATTATAATGGATTCATGTATTACAATCTCGCGTGTTTTACAGCAACCAGATATAGTATTGTTGTATAGAACCTTTAAAGCACGTACATATTTTAAAAATAAACGAGCTTTTCTATACTAATATTATTAAGAGGAAAGATTTGATTTTTAGTTTGTTTGAAATGAATAGGCTCCGAAACTACTGGACCGATTTCAAAAATTCTTTCACCGTTGGCAAGCTACACTATGTGTCCCGAGTGACAAGGGCTATGTTTCATTTTTAAAAAAATAGGGTTGCTTACTAAAACTTGAATAATCTAACCCAAGGTGTAAAAAAATAAACAAAAAACTTCCTTCAATCGCGTGCGCTGCGAAAACTATTAATGATAGAACAAAATGATGTATTACAATTTTTCAGGACACATCACTATCTATAAAAAATGTCACGACAGCATGTCTATATCTTTTATAGTTACGTCACAATAAGCGTCCTTTTATTAATTTTTTTAAATTAAAATACCACAGCTAGAAAAGGCTCTTTATTCGTACCTAGGTATTGCTGATCCTTATCAAAATAAATACCAACGTTTCACATAAGCTACAATTTAATGGTATAACCACCAAAAAAGCATGGTGGATTGGTGTTCTCCTGCCGTTTCTCTTGAATAGTTTACTACTATGTAATATAGCAAAAATCTTAGCCACAGCAACGCTTGGCCGAGTCATCTTATAAAACAGTAAAAACTTATAAAACAGTCGTTAGTATCTTATAAAACAGTAAATAATTACGACAGTAAACTTACAGATATATTTTCTAATGGGATGATTCCTCTAGGCTCCTTATCCGTCGTGTACTCGAAGTAATATAAGCAGTTGTCGTTCAGAATGAACCATCGTCTCTTCCATGATTTATACCTGAAATTGTAAAAAAAACGATTGTAATACAACAAAAATTGCTATACTGATTTATTTTTCCTAGTTTACGCGAATTTAAATATCATTGCAATAGTTCTACGATAAGATTAAGGATCAGAATTAGGGACGAGACACCTGTATGTCAAAGTCTAATAAATTTCTGGCGGAGTCGGACTTAGAGCGAAGTTTTATTTCTGAATCTCTTCTAGAGTTCTAACTTAGCACTAAGTGTGATTACGTGAAGAGAGGAAAATAGAAGAAGTAAATTTACAGCAGTTTCTAGTCGCTAACATAACAGAATAATAATGTGATACAGTAGATAATAAACGACATAATACAGAGCCTAAACGCTATCTTAATCTCACTTATCTTTGTACAATGTTTACTTTACTGAAAATTTTGTGTATTACAAATTTTCTATATTTTCCATAGAATTCAAAATTCAATTTTTTTGTTCGGAATATAGTTATCGATTTTAAATAATAATTCTGGTATACGATTTATCTATTTTGACAATTGGTAAGACGAAATATATAGCACAATTTCTTTTCATTATGCAGGGTCGACTCAGGAATAGCCTGCCTACGTGGGTAACACTGAAAATGTTTAGAACTGGCCAGTTAGAAACATAGCTAATGAAAACTTTTATTGAATTTCAATTTTTGAACTCTTTGGTAACCTAATTTAGTATATTGCATTCATTCGTCATGAAAGTCATAATAAATCATTGACCGAAAATTTTCTCGCATTAGGTTCATTTTCACGTGTAACAAGAGTTTTAGATTTGCCGCCAATTCACAAAAACAAGTGACAAATGAATGCACTTGTTTTTGTGAATTAGGTTACCGAGTTAAAGTTAAAGAGTTCTAAAATTGAAATTCAAAAAAGTTTTCATTAGCAATGTTTCTAACTGGCCAGTTTTAAACATTTTCAGTGTTACCCACGTATTAGCTAATGTGATAATATAATTTCTCTCACCTGCCACCTTGTTTCCAAAGCCACCCCTCCTTGTCCGGATTGAAGAAGGTATGCATAAGATCATTGCCGTCGTCCTCTGGAATCTTGAATGGCTCCGTCTTTATCGACTCGTATAAGGACTGAAAATAAATGAGATTTGTCTTAAATAGTTGTTACTCTTAATAAGGTAATTGGTAATAAAACCAAGACGATTAAAGAATATTTAGAAAACAATTACGTAACGGAGGTGACTCCTAAATTAAAACAATACACTATCACTTAAATGTTGCTGACTTTTGACATTTATGTACACCTTTGGAATTCAATAACTCCGTGAATCCTTTTGAATTCCTTCATGAAGACTGTGAAGCGGAAACGTCCCTTCGCTTACAATTGGTTAAAGAAAGTTTTAATAGAAATAAAGGTATGAGTTTGTAAAATAAAAGAAGTTCACGTCGAAACATGATAAATAATGTTCGGCCAAAGTATTATGTAATAAATGGTTAAAATTATACCAAGCTTATAAAACACATTCCACACAATTCCGCGATATATGTACATTTAATACAAATTGAAATTGATAAATACGACTTACTCAATCGGTCCGTCAAATGCAACTATTATCGGGCATTGCTCAAAGTGACGATAAGAGGCCATTATATTGACATCAAATATCATTTATTTACTTTATAATGTGCCATTTACGTCAGTGACAGATTAAGTGAGTGTATACATTAAGTAACAAATTCAGTTTGCATGTCACAGCTAAAGTATCCTTTTATAAATATGGATATGTATTTATTATGTAACTCTTAAACGAAACATTGAGAGACACATTTTTGCATTGTTTTATTGATAATTTGCCTGACGCATGTCCATTTTTGGTCGGTTCAGTATCGTACACTAAAATTGCGTAACAGTATGGCTCTGTAAATTATTCTTAATGGATCTGGACCTTGAAGTCACCAATAATAATAGGCCTTTCATTCTATACCTTTCCGAAACTAATATTATTTCACTAAATCGAATTAAGGACCTTTCAATAATACGAACTATGTATGTAATATCAGCAAGTAACCTACTCCATTATTTTATTTTATATATCCGTTTGTGATATAATATATTATAACATATTTATTATATACCAACGAGGCGGTAAATATGTAGTGGATATAATAAAATTATCAACGTCATTACACATAATAAGCCCTAATTACCTAATTGATTAAAGAGAAGTTGATAACCAATGGAATACGAGGAAAAATGTTTTTAGTTTTACCGTGACCAATTTACATTACATATTTTCCATATTATAATCGAGTCGTCATGCAATGTAAAAGATTAATTGAGTCTGGCGCATAAAATGTTTTAAATAACTAAACTATATTCGCTTTTTTTCTCTAAGCTCCTTTAAATTTCTTATATATGTCACCGTAAAATTGTAAACACCGTTAGATTGCAATCTATCTCGCGAGATTGTAAACTGTCGAAAGATTGTGAACCTCAACGAATTGTTTGTTAATTCGTTTGTTGTCGAAAGTAACTTGATTGTTTTGATGAATGTAAATTGAAGTCGTGTTGAAAGTAACTCACAGCTTTAGAATTAGTTATATGAAATTGTTGGGAAGTAAAATTAATCTGTGATTGACCAAAGAAGTTTGAGTGATAAGTAACTAAGTTAGTGTTGGAAATGAAATGAAAGAAAATTTCATTAATTTTTAATAATTTTAAAATTTTCGGAATCCTACATTAATTGAAACGTGAAGTTTGACATCAATTATGTTATTTAAAAAAAATTTAATATACTAACCTATCCTAATATGGTGGCGCGGGGCATATTCCGTTCAACCAATCAGCGCGCGATGTGCGATCCGTTTCACAATTTGACGGTTTCACTTCGATAGATTACAATATACCGAATAATAATACGTTAAATTGTAAGCAGTACGCTGAGGTTCACAATCTTTCGACAGTTTATAATCTCGCGAGATAGATTACAATCCAACGGTGTTTACAATTTTACGTTAACATATATAATCAAGGCTATTGTGCTCGCTGAATGAATATATTTTTAAATATAGTAAAAAAATTAACGATTTGAAATATATTTGGTGATTTGGTAATAGGTCAAAAGAATAAGTAACAAAAAAAAGGCGTGTATCTTTATCACCAAAATTTACGTTATTGAACATAACATTGGAAAACCTAGCAAATATTTTTCATAAACAATGTATTGTGGTTTTCCACGTTTTATACATCTATAATTTAAAAACACCAAGTACGTGTGAAGGAGTTTCAATGATTTGAAACACACACGTACAAGGTAAAATTACAATATTAATCTTTATCCTTATTTGGTCCTTACAAAATGAGAAAAACCGTTTTACGCGCAAAATGTCATGAGCATGTTTCGTGGGTCGCTTTAACGTTTAAACTCTGGACAACACCAATTAGTTTGGAAAATATAAATGATTACGCAAAAAATGCATGCTAATGCAGAAGCCGTAATTTAATCTGAGTTATTGTTTAATACACTAAATTGTATTTAAACTCTGGTATGTAAGTCAGAGTCGAGACTTGGTGCTAAATGGGATTTAGACACTTGGTAGTCATACATACTTAGGATAAGTTTGTTGGCTGTTTTTCTCAGACACACACCAGACCCACCATTAGGAAGATTATTTTTCTCTTTTTGTCTTTATGGATTTCTATTAAGACAAAATTTTTAAGTAAAATTGGATAAGTTTGACATTCCCTATTACTTTTATTAACTATAGACGTGTTTTGAACAGGCTCATTTAAAAAGGCTATTTACATTGTTTAAACTAAGTCAAAAGTCAAAGTTGTATAAAAGAGCCGAACGGATTTCTGATTTGTTTAGATTATTTAGTTTAAATTTTTTTTTTTATATCACAGGGGGAAAACAGGCACGAGACCTGATGTTAAGTGATTCCGCCGCTCATAGACACACACATTGCTAGAGGGCTCGCAAGTACGTTGCAGACCTTTTAAGAATTGGTACGCTTGAAAAACCCTAAGTCGAACTGGTATGCAAATACTTTAGTATATATATATAGTGGGGGTGCGGGGCAAAACTGCCTTAAAAAACGCTCAGTGGGGGAACGACGGACATCGTGTCTCCCCTTACGTAAAATTTTACTCATGAAAACCTATTGATTTTTCAAAAGCAACGTATATCGACGTAGGAAAGCACATTTGCTGTAAGTAGACATATTGCAATTGTTCACCAGAGCCAAAAAACTTTATTAATTTCGGAAAAAAATTAATAGTGTCTGACCTATCCATGATATTGCTACCATTTTTGAAACATATATTTATTTAACTGCCAGTCACCATTTGCAATGTAAACTTTTTATCCAAAGTTACTATAAGTACGTGTTTGGCTAGTTACAGCAAACAGTTTTTTAAATCACAAACCTTTAAAACGCTGTAACTAAGGAAGAAAAATGTACGCGCGGAAATATTATCAATTTACAGGCGGTAAATATGCTGTATGCAGGAAATTTATGTATTTGGGTACTTTTAATTGCAATTCAAGATGTAAGATTAGTTTATAATTATGATTAGATCTAGAAATGCAGTGGGTCATTTGGTAATGTAATGTTTGGTTGAAATAAAATGTCGTAAATGGTAAAAAAAACCAAAACTGTAGGTTCCCTAAACTTGCTGTAAGTAAACGAATGTAAAAATCACACGCCGCTGAAATGCTGTAAGTAGCGTTAAGTTTTTAAATGGGAAGAAGTAAGTACTTGTAAAGAAAAAAATGCAGATTTTCTTTTGCTGTAAGTGCGAAATGTCTGAAATGACTAGATTTTGGTCTACATACAGCATTTAATCTTGCTAAAAATAATATAAGTACGGGCGTTTTCAACGGCGTATGTAATTTTTTTTTCATCGTAGAGACACAGGACCCAGGTCATTCGATGCGGCTTTTTTTTCTGATTCTAATGGCAGGAAAAAGTCACTTTAGGTATTTTGTCTACTTACAGCAAATATGCTTTCCTACGTCGATATTATTATAGGGCTGATATGTTGAAATTGGCCTCTATATGTTTGAAAATTGTTTTCTTAAATTCAGAACTAAATATTTAATATTTACGCATTTAAGGTCACACACACATCACCGAAACAATGTATAAATTTCTAATCCTAAAAATTTCAATAAACACTACCTACTAACATTGTTTATTCCGTTTAACCTGACAGGTTGAAAAATGTTTGTAATTCTGTTACCACAAAAGTAGGCTAATATTATAAACGAGTTAGAATAATGTCGCCTACATTTGTCATGTACTATTAACATGCAAGGGTGTTTAAAAGGGACATAATTTACTTTAGGTAAATATTTTAGGACACATAGTTTGTAAAAGTTCTCTATGAAAAGTATGAATTATTGTTTTATTTTATGTATACAGTCATAGGGGCCGTTCAAATTACGTAAGCACTATAGGGGTGTGGGGTGGGGGGGTGGTCTTTGATTTTCTTATTTGGAGATTACGTCAACAGTAATTATTTACTTTTTTACACATATTATTTCGAGGATTCTTACAAAAAATAATACGTTTATGTACTATTATTTTTGAGAGATTTGCTTACTTTTGCTGACAAGAGGAAGTGGGGGGGATAAATTGTCAACAATTTTCGGGACCTGAATTTAAACATTGTAAATCATGAATTTACTCACCAAGAGCAACTCCTGAGGTAAATCACCCCCATTATTGATCCCTCGATTCATGGCAACAAATTGTTCAGGCGAAGGCTTGTCTTTCACGCTCGGGTTATGTAGGGACGTATTCAACATAATAATCGCAAAGCTGAGTACATAACATGTATCCGCGTTCGTGAATATATCGGGGTTGAGCTGACAATACCGCTGTGCAAAACTCTCCATCATACGATCAATCTTCTGCGCTTCGCCAGGAAGACGAAAACTCCATAGGAATTGCCTGAAATTTAAGAAACACTGTTGATTATTCTAGAACTTCGTTACGTTCCCTGAAATGCTACTGTGAACACTCACGATTTTACACATTAGTTTTTGAAATTTTATCTAATTGCCTTCAAAACCGAAACCTGATTAGGTAGCAAAGCATGAAAAACCAGAGTCACTAAACAAAGCTGGCAAAGAATAAAGTAGAATCAAAAACTGCTTATAAAAAGCCAACACAATCAGGTAAAAACTCAAACAAAACATCTTTACGATCGACCAATATTGATACTAGATAATGTACCTTAACGCTTGAACAAGTATCAAGTCTGTGAAGTCGTGTAACTCGACGAATGCTCTCAGTACTGCCTCATTGAAGTCGGATCGCTCGCCTAGGTAATCGCCTATTGCGGTTTTACTCAGGCCTTCGCCTTTATGTAGAAATTGTGCCACGTCCTCTGGTGTCCTTTGTAGTAATCCGTTCTCGTACAAATACTCTATACCTGTAAGTTCCATTACAGTTTCATTAACATGCCAGCATGAACAGCTCGAGTACGAAATTACTTGAATGAAGTCAAGTACATAATGAGCTCTGCTTGGTTTTACTTTGAGGTTTAAATTTAAAGTAAAATAAATTGATTTTTATCTATAGTAACCAAAACAGATAGATAACAGGTATTTAGATAAATAGTTTTTGTATCTATTCTTGGTCTACCATAATTACGATAACAGATGTTAGCCCGGCTTACATTAGGAGATTAAAAATCTACCTACTCCAGCTATTCTACTTTAAAAAACATTTGCATAATGCAGACCGTTGAAGGCACGAAACATCGTCAAAGCTCAACCACGCCGTCTACGGGTAGGCTTTTTGGCATAATTGAAAAACGAGATAGTCAAAGGTATCTTTATAACAAGATCTATATCAGTATAAAAAGCTATCAATTTATAAGATACGTAATGCTGTTAAATTGGTTTTAATGAAACGAATTGCTAGCTGTGAAATAAAATATAAATTGGCTCAAATTAAGAAACTATTTAGTGCAAATTTTATATAAAAGTTTTTGATCAGTTTTGTGACGATTTTATTATAATATATAGTTTCCCTGTATGTATTACATAGCATATCGGAAAACTATATCAATAACTTTTAGCCCATTGTCGCCACTATCGTCATTCCTTACTGCCTACCCTCTGACGTCACACCCACACCCCGAGTAGGCTTTCACATTCCAAGAAATCCAATGCTAAAAGTTACTGAATAAAATCCTTTCTTATAGGATCATTCCTTGTTTTAGTACGCGCTTGAAAAACGTTATTTTAATCGTGAATTCTTTACTGATTTTTTATTATAACATATAAGTAAATAACAGCATTACACTCTTATGATTTAGTGACGAGTAAGACAAATCTTTACCAAGGAAACCATCCACAATATACATAAAAAGTTATTGGACAACACTTGTAAGTAACTAGTGCGCTCAAATAGTGCTACACTGAGGAGATTGTTATTAACTTTTTATGCTATCATAATCTTGGACTATGAATAATTGATAATAGCAGGATAATAAATTGTCTTAAAAAAAGCTGCTAGTGAAGATAGCATTTGCTAACGAGTAGCGACTGATGATTTCGCATAAATTGCAGCTGTAGTCTCAGTAAGCACTGATTTTATTAGCCTTGCAATATTAACGATGACAAATGTGACCATGATGAGAGTTAGTATTGAAGTGCAATTGCGTAGTAATTTCTGTACACAGACCATTAAAACAATTTATCGGACTATTAGGAATACCAGTAAAATAAATGAGCTGTGAATAGATAACGTTTTTACTTTGTACCGAGACAAATTATAATTTCGCTTTTGATGTTGATAAAACGTAATTTTACAGATTCTGTGAGTTTGTATTTTAAGTATATAAACATATGTTAACCATAACCGATCTGCAAATACTTAAACAACGAAGGATTTCGTTAAAAGAACCGAAACCCAGGACCTGAGGAGGTAGAGAAACTGTTTCTATATAGTGAAAAGGCACAAACTTATTAGATAAAGTCCCAATAAGATGTTCAGTGTGCTTCTTATAAACCCAAAGAATCTTGATTATTCAGCTGTCTTATGAATAATAGAAAATATTAAAAAGGAATAACCTGTCCGTCGACAGGTAAATGAAATTACGTCAGAAGCTAGTCCAAAACAAATAAGGGAAATATATATTTTTAATACACATCGCGGAACTCCAAAACAGGTTATATAAACTAATTATTTCTGTATCGATTTAAACAAGGCAACATATTGTCATTTTCCGTTTTCCTTTGACGTCGAGTGATTTAGAAACTATGTATTCTCATAAATCTTTGTTCATATAGATGAGTGTAAAATGAATAACAGGCGGTCTGTGTCAACCATGCAATTTCGCAAGACAACCGTGAGAAAATAAGCACCTGTTTCAATTGCTGACACACAATTATTTAATATCATCAGTTAAATTCCCATGCAATTCATAGAATTAAAAAAAAATATAACATTATCTAATGTATTACTGTACTGCTAAACTACTATTTTAAAGCTGAAATTACTGGTTTGAATTAAGAACATGTTAGATAAAAATGAGGAAGTAACGTAAGTACCTAACAACTAAACAGCTAGAAAAAAGAAGCAAGAGTTATTTGTATAAACGCTTATAATGAAAAGCAAATTACCGAATAAAAAGCGTATCTGCTTCTATCGTCGAGCATAGCAGGTATGATATATTTTATATAAAAACTAGACTACCCTTCAATATTTGAAATGATGTAAAGGTTTTTTACGCGATTGGATTATCTTGAAGTGACTTTTAACTTGACATAGTTTGGTCCCTAATACCGCATACATATTTTTCCCATGAGATATATGAACACACGAATGAATTCAAAAATACAACGAGCAAATATAGGCTTTGCATGGTCGGATATTTATTTTATTAAATATATAATAGTTAGACATTTGGTATTTATTCATACCTCTAGGGTTAGATTATCTAAGTTTTCATACAGATCGCTAACTTTTACAAAAATATCTAATGGTAAAAGAATTTTTCAGATAGGTCCATTAGTTTCTAAGCCTTTTCAATGCAAACAAACCATCGAATCTTTACTTTTTATTTTTTATTTAATATTTGTGTAGACCGCGTGTTTACCTGTCATTAATCGATCATAATATTAATATATTTAGCACTTAACATTACAAACACACTTTCTAATATAAAATCAATTATAGCCGTTGCCTACTTAATTAAGGAAACCTAACCTGAAACTCGTGCCTAGTTATCAGTTTCTAAAACTTGCGGTCGAATAATTTTACACATTACGTAATATTGCGTACAATTGTATCACGTATGTAAATGGAATTTAAATTTTGATATTTAATATTCATAATTTTATGTAATAGTCCTTGTTTATACAAGTGAACTGAATATGTCACTGTTATGTTTAACGTTATATCTACTTTTAGGCGGTAGGTGTGTTCGATATAAAAATTTTAAACTTATACCTTCAAGCTCTCGCGATCAATCATGAAAACTTCAGGTGGATAAGGCCGAAGATGTGTTAATACTAGCCCCTAATAATGTTATGTTCATTAGATAGTTTCGGTCATTAAAGTATGTTTTTTTTATTTGATTCATCCAATAAATACTTCTTTGTTATATTAGATGTTTATAAAACATGTCAAGAATTTGTCTAACAAAGCGAGTACTCTGATACGAATGTAGTTTTAAATCACAGTTATATTCACCTTTCTTTGGATCCATATTAAATTTCTTTCTGCCTATGCTCATCTGTTTGGCTTTACTGTTCTGCTTGCACTCCTCCTGCCCGTCAAGGGCCTCCAACTCGGCCACCACTTCACCCAGTTCATCTTTGAGTTGCTATAAAGAAAGAAACGGACTTTAATAAAAAACTACGTGCGACGTAATTCAAAAAAACAAGGACCTTGAAAGATAACAAATTTGTATACATTTTCAACATCTGTCCCTTGGAGAAGATAAAGCGCTGAGCTAATGCTTATCATCATGGGCCCATATAGTAAAGTGTTAGACTGTTGCAATATATTGAAGTACATTTATTAGTAGAACGAATCTTTTACGACTAACATTTTTCATATAAAAAGATAAAAAGATTGTTAAGCACATCTAGAACAGAGGTACCATTTATTCTTGTAATAAAAATATAGGACGAGTTTTTCAACTGAACGTCAGTGCACACAATGGTTAAAGCTACAAAGAAAATATCGTATTCAGTAGCCTGAACAAAAGTGAGCCCAGATGATAATAATTACGAACGCCAGTGCCATTTATCGCATGCTGCTTCAATTATTCAAAATAACATCCCTTAGGATAACATTAGCTGAAAGCCTGCGCCGTCTACCTTCTTTGTGTGAATACTTTAACTTGTTTAGAATGTCTTTCGATTCTTCGATCGTTATATGATTGCATATAGTGGTGTCTGCGTTTTACTAACTTCAAGAACTTAATATAATGAAAACTTAAAGCTTAATATTTCTTGTTATAAATTTATAACAATATGTGCTAGAATGCAAGTAAATAAAGTATTCAATTTCGCAGCAAGACAATGACGAAACAGTTCTCAACTCAAGACTAAGTTCTATACCATTAGCACATACTGAAGAAGTTCTGTTACCGAATCCACAGAGTTATAAGAGCTTAACCACGACTTCGCATACGGAACTAACATAGTCTTAAGATCTTCTATAAATATATACAATTAATAATGTAATTTACATTTTCAAAATGAAAACCATACATGTTCAATATTAATTTTCCAAAAGAAAGGTGAGCGGTACACTTAATATTTTATAACCAGTTCAAATACAATCAAAGAATTTAATCGCTGTACGGTTATTAGAACCCCACGAAAGATTTTTGAAGGAGATATATTCCTCGTTAGCTTTATAGACTCTAATATAATATAATGTATGCATTATTTAAAGGAGCAGGGCTCAGTGTCTTGAATCTCGCCGCGATACGGTCTGACGGCGTTCCAACATAATTTGCGGTCGGCAACCTATTCCCCTGAGGGATGCGCTACTGGTCTTCCGTGTCTAGACGATGAAATAACAATACTATATTTTATACAACAAGAGACAGTTTCTTGAAATGCCACAAAAAGGATAATAACTTCGTAAATATTTATATTTTTTTATTTAATTTAAAGATTAAACACAATGTTTTAAGATTAACGATAGCTTTAGATTGGTCGTTTATACAAGACAAGTGTTTTATTTCTTAACTAGCGGCCCGTCCCGGCTTCGCACGGGTGGACAGTTATTTTTTAAACATTTATTGTAGATATTGATATGTTCTTTAATATTGTGGAACATTTTTTCTGTTCTATCATCATTCGTTTTCGCAGCGCATGCGATAAAATTATTTTTTATATGCATTTTTTTACACCTTGTTTAATTTAGTTTAATAATGTTTACCACATTATTGTAATTATAGTAGGAGTCCTTATATTTTTCTTGCAATTAAAATAGCCTATATTAATCAGTGATAATGTAGTAATCAAATGGTGAAAGGATTTCTAAAATAGGTCCAGTACTTTTTGAGCCAAGTCGTTACAAACATACTTACATACAAATCTTCCTTCTTTATAATATTAGTATTAGATTATTTTAAACTTTTTGTAAGCAATAAAATTAATATTAGAGCGATTTACTGGACGACACTATATATCGTACATTTATCTAACATCGATACCCTACTTAACTAAACACGATATGAGAGCTAAGGGCCTACAAGATGTTTATTAAGACTGTCTAGACAGGTTTTTTCTAGTATTCATTTTCTCTTTAAACTTGATATCTTTCTCTATATGTACTGAAAATAGAAAGGTACAAGGAAAAACATATGACAGGTGTACCTTCGGCTTAAGATTACTTTCGCAATGTAACCCTAAAGCAGTCTTACTGTGTAATATTTTTCTTTATAGACTTAAGTGGGTGACCAACCTTCTGTGCCAACTGCCACCTGATCTGAAGAACATGGTGCTTTGTTGGGAATCTACATCTACGGGTAACCCCTTGTATCTAATCTACCTTTACAAATATTATAATTGAATTAGTTATAGCAGATAAAGGAAAAATGAAATAAAAAATTAATACTGACTTTCCTTATCCATTTTAAAACCATATTATAAAAAAATGTTGCATCTCAAAGCTTTCATATCTACGTCAAAGCTTAAAACGTGGTTAAAATAGAACCTTTCACCGATAAAAGTGAACGCATGCGTTAAATACGATGCTATATATGGAATAAGTCACAAAGTGTACAGTAAAAATGGTGAAAATAATAATTTGTTTTACAATTTTATATATAAACCAGAAAAGTGAGAGTAGAATCTATATTCATCACGCTAGGCTTGTTTTAATTTATTATTATTTGGTATAATTTGAATTTTATTCCAGTTTTTAATATATATTTACATATTCTGCTGTAATTTTCATTAAAAGGCAACAGCGAATGCAGCAATTTTATTTAATTGCTGTATTAACCTATATCTCGTGTAACCGAATGTTAACAAAAAAAATCATTGAATACTACTAAAATTCTTTTCCTAGTAGCAAACAATAAGCATTACACTACCGTGTCTAGACATATGAGACCGTCATGTTTGAATCACTGTTCAATCAAGTTGAGTCACTTTTATTTTAAGCAAATGGATATTTAGACATTAATAAAATGCTAAGATATTTACATTAAAAGTAAACAGCGGAACATTTATAGAGCTATAGGCGTAAATCGTGCCCGTAAACTGGAGTGCAGCGATTACAAATAATCCTCTTAAAAGAGGAACTTTAATAGCGTCAACGTATCAAATCGAGGGCCGAAGGCATCGTTATCAGTATGAACCCTTGATAGAGCTTTGCGGTTCTTAAATGTTATTGACTACTGGGTTCCTTTTAGTTAAGGATTAAGGAAAATCTATCGTGCTAAGCCACGATTAAGTCGAATCCTGTAGTAAATACTAAATTAGCCCGAATATATTGAAAATTTATCTAAATATTCAGTTGCTTTTTTATTATAGGTAATATCAAACCAAATACATTATTTATAATAAATGAAAGCGAGCAAGTCAAATATTGTACAATAACTTTTATTGCCATAACAAAATACGCGATTGTTTCTGTCTGTTTCTGTATTGAATAATAATTATTGGTCACACTTTCACCAATTCGTTTCAAATATAATTTGATGGCTATCATCATTTAGATTACGGCGTACATTTTGTTAAACTATTACGATATTATTTTATGGTCTCTTAACTAAAACATAAAAGAGTATGAAACTATATTTTTATACTTGTCATATAGATAGAACTTTATTTGACGAGGCCCTTATAAATGTTTAATTAATTATTATTAATCCGCGAATTCATAACTCTTAAAAACTTACACCGTTTTAAAGAGATAAGGCTTGCTTCTACGATACATTAGCACTAGGCCGAAACATAAACCAAAATGTATTTGTAAACTATTCCAGGCAACACAGGTTTATTAGAACTACCGGCGTCCTTTCTAAGAATACACGTGACATAATGAACTGTATGAAGATATTGAAATCGATAAACCCGTCCTCACAGGGCCTCATAAGTTCAATTGAACAATTGAGAGTGTTATTTTCAATTTGACTCCATTATTACAACAAATCACAGGCCACCATCGTGAACTATTAGTAGTAATCGTTCATAATAATGGGTTGAAACTGTTACTATACATAATTTTTTTTAAACGTATGAAGCACCTTTTTGTTACGTTACTAAAAAGTATTTAATAACAATATTTCTTTTCCATTTCCATTTTCCATTCCAACAAAAACATTTAATGTTAATTAGTTTATTTATACGCGTATTTTGGGTGTATATTCTCAATTCGCTGCCAATCCGAATTATTTCACACCTCGACGGCCAGATCGGTCCATGAGCAATGCTTGAACAATCAAAAAAATTACACATCGAATTGTTAATATTCCTTTGGGCTGTTTGAAGTTGGTTAAAAATATATCTCTTTAAAATCGTAGCATTGTATACTAAGATCCGTCACCTGATCGCAAACTTCCATGACGCTAACACCGTCCATAAATCTATATTAAAGTGAACACGACCAATCATGCAATCAAACTGCAAATGGTTGTATGCAATTCTGTATTATTTAGTTACTATCAGTTCACAATGCCTTGTTAAAGTTAACAATTTAAAGATAGGTATTCCAATTTGTGGGTCGCGACCCCAGCGTTATTAGACACTACTTGCGGACGCGGCAAAAAATTTTAGGTCCTATACAATATACATTGATTCCATTTTTAATCAAATCATTCAATTTATACCTGGTTATGCAGTGATAGAAGAAATCTTCTTAAAAATGGGACCATGTGTTAAAAATATTTAAACGTAAAAAATACTGCATTACAGGTTCAAAGTATAAACTTCAAGTATTTCATAATCGATTTAATAAAATTATAACAGCAATATTATCTTTTATATAAGTTCTTTAAGTACTTGACCCGACTAAGATAGATTATTTCTTTAGATAAGATGAAATTTCAAAGAAGCTAGCATAGTGATAGTTTCTTATCTCTCTAAAAAAAATAAAAACTTTATTATAGAAAAAACCCAGTGGCGCTACAACCATTTAGGTTGTAGGGATTTAGATTTCTGTATGTTTCATGATCACTTGTTTTTTCGAATTTCGAATTATATAATATTATGTATACATATATATTTATATAATTTCGAATTTTTGTGTCTAAGGCATGCACGGTTTCCTTACGATGTTTAGATCGTAGACATAGACAGAAAGTCCATAGGTGCACAGCCCGGGTTCGTTCGAACTAGGGATGAGAGTTGCATTAGGCCAATACTGCTCTTTACTCTGGAAAGATGGTGATTTAATAAATACAATCCGTACAGTAACTCAGTATCTAGTATAATCTATAATATCAGCTTCCTAACGGGTTTGAATTCCAATAAATAATGATTACACTCGAAAACAATAAAGCGTAAATATCGTACAGCCGTAACTAATAAGGATTCCAATAAGACGAGTGTAAAACGATCGTGTTCGCGAATCCTTTGAAGACTTTCACCAATTAATTCACTTTCCCTAAGTAGAGTTTCTCAAACACGTCAAAATGTGTTTTGGTTTTTAATTTACGGGTCTTTAAACTGCCTGACACGCCTGATGGACGATGAATGAATGATGGACTTTTGTATATTTCGTCTATTATTTTCTGTATTTACAGTACAACCTATAACTAGGATTTACGACTGAGAAGTAAAAATTAAATCAGACAATATAAAACTGTACCTGGATGTAAAATTTGCGGATAATTAGTTAATCTTCACGTTCAGTAAGAGATTTAAAACACAAATTAAGTTTTTTAAATATTTATGTGACATAAGGATCAAATTGTTAATTTTGTTAATAACTTTACATTACTTTACATGCCTGATAATCTAAGATAAGTGATAGCTATACATAGAAGTGATAACGTTACAAAAAACAACGATATTAAACAAAGGTATTATATCACGTATATCAACAAAGCGTAGAGAACTAGGTACGTTGTTTTGCATTCAGAAACGTAAGGCGGATGTTTTGTATATTCTCATAGGTATCGTCCACGTATTTTCCTGTTTTAACAACAGCTCTTTGAAAAGGATTAAAAAAAGGCATT